TCTTTAGCCAGGGCCTGTGCACCTGGGTCTTGTTTATATGGCATTTCCAGTGTTCCTGCCAATTCCACTTGTATCAAGCAAAGTATCTGTGGCAGGTAGTAGGCAGAAGCATTTCTTGACCCTCCCCTAGGGTAGCAGACTTCTGCTTTGTATTGGTGCAGCATGCTGGGATATAGAGATTTTCCTTTCTCTGCTCTGGGGAAGAAAAGTTTGTGTCTGTCCTTACCCAAGAAAGTTTGTAGTGGCAGGAAGGGGAGTGTCATAGTCTTTCTTCAGAAGTAGACAGATTCTGTTTCTACCTCTTCTGTGACCCTAGGTTGTAGAGGGTTTCTGTCCTTCCCCGAGTGGCTTAAGGTTTTTGTTTTTTGAGAGAGATGATCTACAGAAGTGTATGTTGTTTTGTACCTAAGTCTAAACAGAAGCTATTCACCTTCTGAATACCTGCCCCACTATAGGAAGATCTCTCTCATCTCTTGTTCTGTCCCTAATCTTTCATAAGAGCATGATTGGAGCCCAGTGGGGAAGCACCAGTGTGTGATTATGAACTGCCCTATGTCTGGGCTCCTAGTTACTCTAAATGTACATACCTGCCCACATTTGGCCTTTAGGAATTTGTTAAAACTTTAGCTGATTATTAATATTTACCTTCTTTTAAAGTGGCCCCTTATTTTTCTTGTATTTCCGCGAAGGGAAAGTAATTTTCATGCCTTGTGTTTCCCTGGAGGGGCTTACCTCTTATGGAAACTCAGTTCTTGTGGTATGACCTCAGCTCCCTGATGGGTTCAGTAAAAGTTATGATCTTGTATGTTATCTGTTTTTTGTTGCTGTTGTTGGGATAGGAACAACATTTTCCTGCAGCTTTGTGTGGCTTAAGTGGAAGCAGGATTTATATGGCTCATTTTCTTCACTCAGCGTCATATTTTTAAGATTCATTTATGTTATTACATGTAGCTACAGTTCACTTATTTCCCCTGATGTATAATATTCTATTATGCGTACCTAGCACAATATATCCATTCTCCCATAAATAGATATTTGGGTTGTTTCTAGTTATTTATTTTATGAAGGGCTCTGCTTTGAACACTCTAGTCACATCCATGTATATTTGTAAGTTTCTCTAGCTTATGTATCTAGGAGAGGCTTAGTATGATTGTAATATGTACGCTGAAGTTCAGCCTTATAAAATAATGTCTTTGATTTTTAATTCATGCCTCTATACCTTCTGAGAAATAAAAACTAACATATCACTTATAGTTATTCTCTTTCCTTTTTGTCATTACCTATGTCTATTCTTCCTTTTTATGAGATCTTGAATACTAGTTACCCCCCCCTTTTTTTAAATATAAATTTGCATTTAGCTTTACCTGTGGCTTATGATTTATCACTTGTCTTGATGTTATTCCTTTGATATTTGACTCTTAGTGCTTCCTAAAATATTTTGGCTGGGACTTGCTGTAGTATAATTGATCTATATAATGTAATATTCCTCATTGTATCCGGCCCTTCCATTTGCCATCAGCTCTGGCTAACTGAGCCAGCATCCTGACTTAGCTATGTACTAGGTGCCCTACTATGTGTTTGTGTGCAATTATCTGAACACTTGAGGTTGAAATAAACTCTATCATTCATTACCCTTTAGGGGGACTTAATTTCACTTTAGAAACTGGTCTATGTAGTTAAGTAGTCACAACGCCAAGCCACATTTGTCTGCTTTGTCTTCAGGGGTATTAAGAAAGATAAGTTAATCAGGGGTGTCCAACCCAAAGCCCTCAGTTTGCATGGTGTCCAGGATGGCTATGAATGCAGCCCACCACAAAATTGTAAATTTACTTTAAACATTATGAGTTTGTTATTGTTGTTGTTATTATTGTTGTTATTATTGTTGTTATGTGTTGCAATGTGTTTAATGTGTGGCCCAAGGCAACTTTTTCCAGTGTGGCCCAGAGATGCCAAAACCTTGGACACCCCCAATAGATACAGAGTTTAGGACAGTTATCTATATTTTTCCTCAAACTGTAGGCAGCTCAAAGAACTGCCTCATAAGGTACAAATTAAGATTTTTTTTCTTCTTCTTTTCTCTTTTTTGGTCTCCTTGCAATGAATCTATGAGCCAGAATTAGAGTGCTTATGGGGAGGCATTAATAATTGGAGCATAATACATATGAGAATAAATTTAGGGAGATTAAGAGTTTATGCCCTCACTGTCAGTTGTCTGGGAATCTATTTTATGTTAGCAGAAATGTAAAGAACAAGGTAGAATTTATGGGAGGAACTAAATAAAGAAACTCTTATTTTCTATATGCTCTGATTTTTATTTTCCCAGGGGAAATACTTGATTCAAAGTTGCTACGAAGTGATAGAATTTTCTTCCCTTGATAGTTAAAACATGGTCTGTGCTCTCAAGGAGATTACAATTTAACAAAAATTAGTATGCGGACCAATGCCAATGGCTGCATCAATAAACACATGGTAGAAGACAAATATAAATAAGTGAAGATACCCTGAAGGTTATATAACTCAGTGTTAAGAAATAGTTTGATCAGAATAGGTTAGGTGATTATATTTCAAAAATAAGTAGACTTATCAAAAAGGGAATGTGTCATGAATAAACATTTCCTTATTCAGAAGAATATTTTTTTTAATGTACATCTTTCCATAATGTAAGCTTGTTGAAGTATTATGCTGGACACTGTTAGTGCTCTGCTGAAATACTCTTCATCAGGCAAGTTCATCAGGCCTCTAGCTGTTGTAAGTGTTGGCTGCAAAGTGCTCACAGCTACCCCTCCTACTGAGAATCATCTGATCTCAGTGATCACAAACAGTGACTCCCCAAAAAGTAGCATTATTTTCACCTGGAGACTTGCTACTAATGTAAATTCTGACTTTATTCCAGAAAAACTGAATCAGACACTCGAGGGGTGGGGCCCAGAAATCTGTGTTTTGTTGAGTCTCACATGATTCTGACTCGAGGTCAAGTTTGTGAACTACTGTCCTGGTTGATGGGAACCACCTTGTCTTGGAGGCTAGGCACCACCCAGCTCCATAGGTGACGACTGATTGATTCACAATACAAAAGGCCAAATTCCTTGCCTTGGGGTGGGGCACACTACTCTGTGGTGTTGATTTATACTGTAGAGAAGCAGTCAGCAAACCATGGTTTTTGGTCAAAATCCATCCCGTTGATTTTTTTTTTTTGTAAATAAAGTTTTATTGGAACAGAGTCAGCCTCCTTTATTTTATTGTCTATGGATGATTACATGCTACAATAGCAGGGTTGAGTAGTTGCAAGAAAGACAATATAGCTCTTTACAGAAAAAGCCCATTGACTCTTGTGATAGAGTCTTACCTATTCCCGGTGTATCAGATCAACACGATACTCATGTGACACCATGTCCTTGCTTGGTTGGCCCTCTCTCCTTCTCCATTCTGCTCCCTTCTCTACCTTACAGATTGCATCCAAATCTCTGCCTAAGTAAGGCTCTGCTTCCCAACAGTGGAACTTGACAAGTATACTTACATGCTTCTTTATTTTTCTGCTACTTTTTCTGTGTTTGCATTGGCTTTAAGGGAACTGTGAAGTTTCTCTGACTTGCAAAACTTGCTCCATAGGCAGTGCCCTCCTAGTTGGTCTTCTGGATCAGTGATACTGTTCTCAGAAAGGGATGGTGTTTCTCATCATTGCAACCCCAACTTTTCTCTCAGTGACGGACTGTAACAGTCTTTACTACCCTGTTTTAAAGGTCATATATTATTATTTTATTTGTATTTACAATGTATAGAGAATGAGGGGCTTCCATTAAATCTCTCACCATATGATATCGTATTTGGTTTGTGGCTAAGGACCTGTGGAAATGCAATTAAAAGTAAAATAAAAATACCCTAACCACCAGTGATGGTAAAGTATAGGCAGGGGTTGAGCTAGGATATTATTGCAATTTATTAAGTTAAAAATAAAAAATAGAGAGAATATTTTGTCTACACTTTACTAAGTGTTCTACCAAATGAGTTAGACTTTAAGTAGCACTAAGCCTGAGGTGTACATTCTGAGTTGTATACCTTCCTAATAATGAAGTAGTGCCATATTTTTTCATTATAATGATGTTTTTATTGTGTGATACTTGCAGTTGATGCTAAGAAAAATATTCAGTTTCTAATGCAGCATGTTTTAAAATATTTTCTTATAAGATGAAGTAGGGCTAACAAAAAAGTGAAGAATATAATTAGTATCAAGAGTTGAAATAGCAAAATTCATTTTCTGGAAGGAGAAAGAGCTGGAATGAGAAAAGAGAGGGAAAGGCATTAATTAAATAGGATCAATCATGATGAGGTTGCACTTTTAATATTGGCTGAGGATTCAGGCTGGGATGAAGAGTGAAGAGACTGTTCTTGTTTGTATTGAAAGACAGTTGATCATTTTATAAAATCTGTGACTGTTCCTCAGAATACAGAAAAGGGATAGTTTCTCTCTTCATCTTGAAAAAACCTGTATGCAGGTCAGAGAATTACTGTAAGATTTTCAAATGCATGGTTTCCTAATGCTTGCAAGAAGCTGTTATATATATGGTAGAAGAATGATTTCTTTATCAGAATAGGAATTTTATGAACTAAAGTTTAATTTAGAATGTCATTTGTTGGTGAACCTCAGTAAAGTATTTCACATTTGGGGGACTTTTATCAAAGCCCTATTCAGCTTTCTAGTTGAATAAAAATTATTGTTGAGTACTAACAGAGTGAACAGTGAAGCACTGAGGATGTATAGGTACATGCTCACATCCAACCATTAGATTTTAATATAGTAATTCAAATCTTACAATGATCAGTATAATGGAGTGATAAATTATAAAATACTACATTTGTGTACCAAAGTACCTTCATATCTTCAATTTTTCCCATACAGCATTACTGCAAGGGGGAATAGGTTATTTACTTAATTAATTAACTTAATAATATAGCTCAGAATAAGTTTAATACAAAAATTAATGTTTATTCCTTTTCCTAAGATGGCATCAGCCACAAAAGAAGACTATTCACTGCTACCTCGGCTGCCTGACCTGTTTGAAACCGTCCAGCAACTTCTGGACGAAGTGGAAGAAGCAGCTGAACCCACCACTTCCCGAATAATCCAAGGCAAGGTGTTGCAGGGACTAGACCTCCTTAAGACAGCTGCCGAAATGTTGTCACAGCTCGACTTGTTCAGCAAAAATGAAGATCTGGAAGAGATTGCTTCCACTGACCTCAAGTACCTGCTGGTACCAGCATTTCAAGGTGCACTCACCATGAAACAAGTTAACCCCAGCAAACGTCTAGATCATTTGCTGTGTGCTCGAGAACACTTTTTAAACTACTTAACTCAATGCCAATGCTATCATGTGGCAGAGTTTGAGTTGCCTCAAACCAAGAACGACTCAGCTGAAAGTAGCCCTGCTAGTTCCCCCACGGCCTATCCTAGCCTTGTTCTTATGGCATCTCAAAGACAGGCTAAAATAGAGAGATACAAACAGAGGAAGGAGGTGGAGCATAGGTTGTCTGCAATGAGATCTGCTGTGGAAAGTGGTCAAGTAGATGATGAGCATGTCCGTGAATACTACCTCCTTCACCTCCGAAGGTGGGTGTGTATCAGCTTGGAAGAGATAGAGAGCATTGACCAGGAGATAAAGATCCTGAGAGACAAAGACTCTTTTGAAGAGGCATCAACTTCTCACTCACCTCTTCAGGACAAGCCTCCAGTGAAACCCTTCATTCTCACTCGGAATGTGGAGCAAGCCAAAGTATTTGGAGCTGGTTATCCAAGTTTGGCATCTCTGACAGTGAGTGAGTGGTATGATCAGCATCAGAAATTTGGAGCATTACCAAGTCAGGAAAAAGCCAAGACAGCAGCAGAGGTCAAAATAGCAGCTCAGGAAAAGGAAGATCAGGAAGAAAAGGGAGACAAGGAAGATGAGTACGAGTATGATGAGCAAACGCTACACCAGGCTCAGCAGCGGGATGACTGGAAGGACACCCATCCTAGGGGCTATGGCAACCGACAGAACATGGGTTAGTCTGCCCACCAGACAGGACTACGGGACTGTAGAGGGACACATCTTCCCTGGGATGGAAAGCTGTGCCATCTCCCCCTATCTGGCTTCCTGCCATGGCTCTGTACCCCAAAGGCAAAGATGCTTAATCTGCTTTGAGCTCAATAAAGTGTCAATCAATTAAATGTATATTTGTACCCTAGATGATGAACCAGCAATCTTGTTTGGGCATTATTGTGCTCATCATGATGTATTTCAGTGGAAAGAAATGAGTGCTGAGAAATGGCTGTATATAATCAATGGCTATATGAATTCTCCTTAAAAAATAATACAAGTCCCTTCTATAACATAATGAACCTGTGCAAAAAAATGAAATAAAAATTAATGTATATCCTATAGATATACAGTAGAGTCATAGATAGGAGCATGTGCTTTGGACCAAACCAGAAAAGATCTTGGTTCAAATATCGGCTCTGACTCTTACCATCCTTGTAGCATAGATCATGTTATGTAACATGACTGAACTTCATCTTTAAAACAAAAGAGGGTGTTACTGAACAACACCTAAGGTTATATATATGAAAACTACTTGGCACAAAGTAAAAGTTCAGTGAATTTTGGTTTCTTTTATACTCTCAGCTATATGCCTCTAAAATTTAAAAAAAGATAAAAAGCAGCCTCCAAATTAAACGTCATATAAAAAATGAGTATTTGATGACTAGAACAGAAGAAATGCTACCAAAAAAAACTCCAAAACAGGTAGTGACTTAAACCTAGGTGAGCTAATTTTTAAGACGTATATGTAGCTCGGAGTTTCCTGACTTCTGAAAGGTAATCTCATTGGTTGCCTAATGTTCACTGCTGACAAAAGAAAGCATGCACATTCACAGCCAGAAACAGACCTTTACATGGAATCAAGTTAAATGAGGTGAATTTCTGTGGACCTTTTTAAAACTCGTATTTGCAAGCATAGCGTATTTGCCTGGTTAGAGCTTTAAAAAAACTACAAAAATACCGATGAGACCGTTTCCATTTCAAGCCTCAGTTTTGCTTAGAGCAAAACTTTGTATCATCAATCAGTGAAGGCATTTCTATGGAGAATTGAGATAATTTGGGCCAAGTACATTGCTTCTTGATAATTTAACTAAAAATGTGGCAAGCTTGGAGAATCTAGGAGAAAGGGTACTTGGCATGTCCATTGGACTGTCTTTTTCAAACATCAGATGTCTGAGGCCAGCCCTTGGCAGGTCCTGGCTCACAGACAATTCATGATTGAACACTCTAACAACTACCCATGGTGCAGCTAGTCTATGCTACTGGCTAATGTGAAAACCATGTGCTTTAGACACCAGACATGAGGAAGGCAGAGTTCTCATTATGTTATAAAAGTTAGGAATTTTCCTTACATTTTTGCCAACTCAGAAGGCTAACCCAATTTCAGTAGAGGCTTGGGGAGCAGAGGTGTTTATTGGTAAAGTTGTTATTTCCCTTCCAGAAGAGTTTAGATTTTTTTCAAGTGCTTACGAGAAATCTTTGGTTGCATTTTTCAAGTTCTGTCACTCAAAACACACAAAGGACAAGTATCACCTTCATAATACAGAGGCAAAGTGTCTTTCCTAATGCTGCAACTGGAAGCATATTTACTAGGACTTTTATTCTCTGATTCCTTCAACCAGAGTGGTTTACAGTAAGCAGGGTGCCCAGCCCACGCTGCTAAAACAACCCAATCACAGTTCTACTATAGCATATTGCTTCTGCCACTCTTTCTGGTTCAATCCATTTCAGGTTGAGGTGTCAATAATTTTGTTTCATGTCATAAAATCCTGCTTTGGCTGTGTGTTTCCAAAGATGAGATTTTTTCATACTCATCTGGTTGCCCTGATGTCAATATACATTTTCAAGGACTGATTCAGTCATGTAGAGTGGACATGATTAAAAAAATCTATCTCACAATATTTATGTTACTCTTGCAAATATTTTCATGTATTTTTGTGATTCTTCTTTTAAGAGACCACAGCCCCAAGAACTGAAGACCAGAATGTGCTCTGGAAATTTGAGGCAGCCACCCTGTCCTCATATTTGGCTCATCAGTGGAGTTATGTCAGTGCAGGTGGCACATGTTTGACAGACGAAATTGATGGTTGTATAATACCTGCTCACTGGTTTCTAAGATTTCTTAACTGATGATGTTGCAGCTTCCATATGCTACATATACCCCTGACATGCACAGCTCAGGGGAATTACAGCAATAATACGTGAGCTTGTTTTTTCCCCAAGATTGCACCTGATCTCTTAGTTAATGTAGTAGTTCTTTATCATTATTTTTTGTGAGAGAAAATTTTCCAGACATGGGAAATATACCATATTCTCTGGGTCTTATAAAATTAAAATTTGGAACGTATAGCCTCCACCTTTGTGGTATTTCTTGTTACAAAAAAAGAACGTCTAAGTTCTGAAATGTTCAAAGGGAAATACAGAGCTTGCTCTTATGGCAGTACTATTTTCTTGGGGGTAACACAACACTTTGATATGCATCCTCTTTGAAAAACTTTAATGTTTAGTCTCAACAACTAAGGATCTATCACAAAAAGATATTGACTCTATAGGTTATGAAAAAAAGATTTCATGCTGGGAACAATGATAGCTGTTTAGTGAGGGATTTTTTAATGTACATGTCTGCTTTTCAAGGTATGATAAAAAACAAACAAATAAACAAAATAGCATTAAAATTCTTCTATAGGAAAATATGCAGTACTTCTATTACAATAGCTCCTCATTCCAGAACTAATCAGTAAATTTTTTTAATAAAGCATAGAAACTTCAGTAGTAAAAGCCAAATATGAATGCTAGCACAATGTATTCAAGAAGTAAGAAAAATATATACAGGCAAGAATGAATTTTAAAATTCTGGTTTTGCAAATTTAACATGGCTATATCTAGAAACTACAAATAAACAAGCCCCAAAAGTATTAAAGATAATTAAGAAAAAAATCAAAGGAATTAAGAGTCACAAAATTTGATGGTGTTCCCTAACACTGATGATGCACCACTAGAAAATACAGAGTTCCTATAAAAACAACTTTTTAAAAATTGTTGTTCAAGTACAGTTGTCTTAATTTCCCCACCTCCCACCCTCAATCCTAACCCCCTTTGGCTTTGTCCATGTGTCCTTTATAATGTTCCTTGATGACCCTTCCCCTATTTTCCTCCCATTATCTCCTCCCACCTCCCTTCTGGTTACTGTCAGTTTGTTCTTAATTTCAGTTTCTCTGGTTATATTTTGCTTGCTTGTTTGTTTTGCTGATTAGATTCAACTTAAAGGTGAGATCATACAGTATTTGTCTTTCACCACCTGGCTTACTTCACTTAGCATAATGCTCACCAGTTCCATCCATGCTGCCACAAAATGTAGAAGCTGTTTTTGCTTTCTGCCGCATAGAATTTCATCGTGTAAATGTACCACAGTTTTTTTATTCAGTCATTTACTGATGGGCACTTATTAATAAGTAGTTTTTTTTATTCCAGGTTCATTCAATCAGACACACATAGATACAAATTTCCAGGAGTGAAACAAACATTTTGTGTCTCAGAAGTTTAGAGAAGTGTATAATTTTTATGAAGACTATATCTTCATTAGTAAATTTACATGAATGAAGCACTTGCATATTTTTATCTACTCTTCAAACACTTCAAGCGGAAAAGGGGTTTATTTAGCAATACCGTGTCAAACTGGTGAGCCAACACATCTAGCTCTGTTCTGTGCCTCTGTAACACCTCTCCATATCTTTCAGAAGAGGGTCACCAGGGCCTCTGCAGTACATAATGAATGCATAAAATATGCAACAGGAATCTGAGCCAACCAAGGGCAAATGCAAGGTAGGGTCCCTAAATCCTTTTCTGATTCCTTCAAGATCCAGTATAGAAGTCGTCTTGACTGAGGAACTTTCTGTGGCCCTCAGGGCTAGGTTAGTTGTCCCTCCTGGGTTTCCATATTACCCTTTGCCCAAGAAACATTCTATTGTATTATAATTACAGGTTACTTGAATTTCTAAATGGTAAGCTTTTTGAGGATAGAGGTTACATTTTTGTATTTTTTGTATTCTTGCTTATTCTATTACAGTTGTCCCAATTTTTCCCCCTTTGCCCTCCTCTATTCAGTCCATCCCCTCACTCCCATAGTCCTTCCCCACACCATTATTTGTGTCCATGAATCGTTCATGCATTGACAGAAAGTAGAGGTCACATCTTATTCATCATTGTTTCCCCATGTCCGAGCACATCTAACACACAGTGGTCTCTCCATAAGTGCCTATCAAATGAATAAACACAGAAACACAAGAATAAATGTTTACTAAAGTTTTCATCCCCACCAATGGCTTCTAAGCTCCAGCTCCAAAATTGTGTTAACTGTTGATGCTAGTCAGCTAACATACTCATGAAGGTTAGCTTGCTCTTTTATAAGGCACAGCTCAGTTGTCACTTTTTTTGTGATGCTTAGACAGGAGCACTATTTTTCTGAGATATGAACTGAGAAGCTAGGCCTGATAACTGTGACATTCTTCTAAATAGCTACATTAGGAATTGGAGAAGGTGCCTTTCATTTAAATCACCTAGAATTCTATCCCAATAACTACCCTCTTAATAGGCAATCTTGCTACGGTAGTACCAACACCTAACTTGTTTTACTTTGTGGTTGAAGAGCTAAAATGTTTGTTGATCGCCAGGACACTGGTGGGCATTTTTTGTACTGGGCACAGGGTAGAACACAGCATTAGAATGGTGGGGTGCTGCTACTGGAGGAGGCTGGCAGGTCTTGTCCTTGGGACCCCAACCCAAAAAGTAACTCTGGTGGGAGATATAACAATTTGCATGAATGAAATGTAGTTGCCTGGTTTCTTGTCTCATTTCTTTGCAAATCTATAAACCTCTTAAAGGCAGGATTATATTCTGTGCAATGTTGTGTTTCAACTCCTCATACATTAATGTAATATTAGAAGTAATGTAGAGGTAATTATTTTCATTCA